AAGAAGTTTTTTGTATTGAACCATATAGATAAATTAAGAAACTTTGTTAAAGATTTTTTTAAATAGTTTAGTTGATTCTTTTTCATCTAAGAAAATACTCAAGTATTTAATTGATTTATTAAATTTGTGAGGTGTAATTGGTTAGTTATTAAAGTTTAAAGAATTTATATCTTGGATGGTGTTAAGAAATACATTTTTGTTAGATATAATGTAAATAAGGTCTGATTTAGATAGATTAACTTATATATTATTTAGTTGATAGAGTTTTAATAATTATTTAGAATATTTTGAAGATCATTTTTGGATTTGCAGTACTATATTATATTATCTATAAAAGCAAAAGGTAGTATTATTCTAATAGTTGGTATAATTAAAAAGATTGTTTTTAAAAAAGATTGTAATAAGATTTTAAGAAGTTTTGAACTGTATTTGAGTTCAACTATTGTTGTATATAGTTGTTTGTTTAACATTTCTAATATAACAAAAGTTAATTGTTATAAATTCTATTTTCAAAATTAGAATTATTTTTTTTTTAGATAATCATTAGCAATATATTATCAATATATTGGTTTTGTAATATATATTACTATAAAAATCTTTATGAACTTATTAAATTTTTAGAAATATTGATAAGCTGGTTTAATTTACTTTTCTACTTAAGATTTTTAAAATTTAAAGATAAAACATTATTAAGACTTTTTCTATTTACATATTGAAATACTATTAAATATCTGTTATTAATTGTGTTTTGGATTAGTTTATACACTTCAAAATTATTACTTACTAATTTAAATTCTATGTAATTTTTAAATTTATTAATTTGAAACAAAATTTATAATGTTAATAGTTTATAATTTATTTATATTAAATTATAAATAAAACATTTTAATATAGTTTTCTTAAAAAATTTATTTGTGAACCAGATAAAATTTTAAATGCAACTACACATGATGTTGTATGTGATTATGTGAGCTTATCAGAAGTATATAAAACTGTTATTTACTATCTAACTACATTGCAGAAATATAGTGTCAAATCCTTTTTTACCAATTATTTAAATATTAACTAAACTATTAAAAGGAATTTATTTGATTACATCTATGTGTTTTGTAGTTTTAAGTTGAAATTTCTTAATGCACTTGTCAATATCTCTATTTCTGCTTGCTTATCTTCATATTGACTTTGAAGATCACATGTTTGACACCAAATGTAAGATGTGCTATATCATTTGCAATTTGCATATGTTCTATTATTTATATTTCTTTTATTATAAAATTTATAAAATAATAACAAATACTCATTTGTGACTGTATTTTGGATTAATCCATAAGTACTTATATCCTCAATTGACTCATTAATTGCTGTATTAAATATACAGGAACGAATATATGGATTATATGATGTTTGAAGTGGGATTTGTCCGCGAAATCTTAAGTTTGATTGGTCCGCATGATTTATTCATAATTCATCACGCATGTAGATCAACATATGTAGTTAGAGTTTAGATCAAAATAATTTTATTCTTATATATAACTATTAGTAATGTATTTATTATAAAATGTTTTTGGCAAAATAATGATGAATCTGAAAATGTTTTTGAATATAACCTATATATTGCAAAAAAAAAATCAATAAGAAAATAAAAATTTATTATTTATCTCTTACAAGGTAAAGAGTTCAGTTTTTTTAAAGCTTTTGTAAAAAAGCCATTTTATTTAAATATAATAGGTCCCTTATAGTTACAAAAACTTAATAAGAAAAGATATATAAAACTACTATCTGATGAAGGTAATATTTATATAGGCTCGCTTTGAAAAACCGAAAAAACATGATTTTGAAAATTTCGTTATTTTAGATAACGTGAATTTGCTTGTATTATCTATATATTACTCTTACTCAAATGCTATTACTACAAGACCTAATCTCAAATCATATAGTGATATCAATAAGAATATAAATCTAGTCAATCACAAAAGAGTAGCTTGTCAAATAGAAAGTCTACATCATGTTACAAATAATTGCGAATGTAATAAAAAATACGAATGCTATCTGAGCCAGTATGATTTATGGCTTGATGAAATAATGTTGTAATTGCTAGACACAAAGTTATTTGGCCAGGCAATCAATAGAAAAGTTATATAAATTAATCCAAGATACAAAACACATTATTATATATATATATATATGTATGTATATATTTTAGTAGTTTTAAATTTCGGTATAAGTTTGGGATTTCGGAATGGGTGTTAGATTTAGGCATTAATTTACTGCCAAGGTCCGAAACCTTTCTAAGATATATCTTTTTTGTGTAATACGTAACTATTTTTACAAATTAATTAAGAGCCACGTATAAAATACAGTGTATGTACTGCCTATTTAGATTGAAGTAAGATTTCTATGGAATTTAAAACAAGATTTTTATAAAATAAATATAAAAGTATACGTATGTATGTAGGTATCAGCAAAACCAAGCTACGTATTATTTCATATTACTATTTTTACTAGAAGTTCGAAACTTCTGATAAATATAACTAAATTTGGTACTGTGGAGCTGATTGATAATCTTATTGAATGGTTTTATTTACAAACAAATCAATACGTCGCACGTACTGTACGTACAGTACGTACTTAAGTGCTACGTGTTATACGTATGATTTAAATTTAGACTTTTAATACTGATACATATTGATATACGATATACAGATTAACATTAATACCAATTAATAAGTACGTATGTATTGCGATAGTGATACGTAGACGCTAATACAGTAACATATTAAATAATGATGAGAATAAATGATAAGCCGCGAATCTGACTTGAAGATCACGGGACGGCATTTTTTTTTGTGCCATTATTAATGCTAAGCTTCATATGTGTTATACGTGTTATAATGAGATTAATTGTGAAACGTGTTATGAGTTTCTGAATCAAAGGTAATTAGCATATACGTAGAGTTAAAATTTTGTAAGGTTTTTAAAACAAAGTTATGCATACGTAATAATAATTCACCACTAACTAAGTGGTACGTATAATTTAATCAACGAAATATGAAGGCTTCGTCTAACACGACAAAATGATCTAACATCGCAGAATACATTTGACGTGTAAAAAAAGGTGTAGTTTTTATAATTGATGATAATGATTCAACATAGGTACAGTATCAATGCTTTCCAAAAAGTTATATATATCAAAAAAGTTATATAAACATCTCAAAAAAATTTACATTTTTACATTTATTACATTCATTACTTTCATTGTGACTAAATAAATATACAAGAAAGTTATCCTCAAGCTACTCACAAAATTTACAAAAAAAAATGAAGTTCAATAATTTTTTCATATCATTAATAAGTTTATTATTATTATTTATTACAATCATCTTTGCCGATATTAACGACCGTAATGATTTAGATGAGAGAGATGATTTGTACAATAATCGTAAGTCACAATAAAAAGCATTATGTATATGTATTATATGTTCACGTACTTTCATTTATTCTTTTAGACGAACGCGCTCTATACCCTAACAACTTTCATCGAAAAAGTGAAAATGGGAATCTTAAACGAGACTTTCCAATTTTTTATTATAAACGTGATGCTTCTCCAAAGGCAAATTTCTACTACTATAAACTTCAAACAAGTAGTAATGAGTCTAATCAACAAGATGAAGAAAACAATGAACAGAATGGTGAAAATGAAAATGAAAATGAAGAAAGTGAATCTAATAATCAAAAACGTAATGCGAAGGATATACCTTACTATTATTCATCTCCGGGATATTATTATCTCTTTTACAGGAAGGAAGCAACATCACCTTATTACTATGACAAGAGAGAATTCCCACCTCATTATAATATCAAATCAAGTGATTCTTCATAATCTTATCGTTACTCTTAAACATTTTCCCATTTTCATATAAATCATTAGAAACGTAATTTTTGTACTATTTGTGTTGTACTATTTGTTGGGTTGGTCAAATGTTATTTCTTTTGTAAATAAATGTTTATACATTCATTATAAAAGTTACGCGTTGATCAGATAGTAATTTGGAAAGATTAAAAATATCATATTTATTGAAAATATTATATTTATTCAGTCTATTAGTAAATACAGCATTATCTTTTTTTTAAAGTTCAAGTTTTGTGCATATAAAACATATACAATCGCTATATAAATAGAATATATATCGATATATATGTCGTAGTAAATTTAGAATTTACCTAGGTTGAACAAAAGCAACTTAAGTTGGTTCTAAACTTGATACGTATATGCTATAATACGCAGTACGTACCACTAAAACAATATTGTACGCAATAAATGTGTAATTGATTGAAATAATAATAATAAATTTTTTTTATATTTTTTATTATTATTATGTTTATTATATATATTTTTATTTATCTTTTTCATTTTTACAACTCTTTCTATCCGATGACCGAACCTCAAGACTATTAATCATAAATTTAATAAACCGTCTTCTAAATATCTTATTCAAAATATTTTGGCAGTCAATCGGTTAATAGGCGGCATATACATGATCTTGGAAATCTTAGAATACTTAGAATACCTATAATCCAACTTATTAGACTTGACTCAAACTCGCTTGTGTACCAGGTGTACTGCGTTGTGGATAAACTTTATCTTAAGGCGACTTAAATCCCAAAACAATATACCATCTAAGATAATTTGAATTCTTTAGCAATTAGATTACAATTTAGAATTCTATTATACCTTATATTTATTCGGAATCAACCTATGTAGATTCTAAATCCATAATAATTCATTCCCATTCGTTTAAAATTCACATGTAGAAAAAAAATATTATTATTATTAAATTTTTTTTTGTGTGCAATTATAAATAGTTCATCTAATTAGAGGAACTAAGTTGATTGAGTTGCGGTTCACAAGTCAGAAAAAAAAATAAATAAATGAATGTGAATGCCTTTTAAAACAAGTCAATTTATTTTCAAAAAAATAATAATAATTTTACGAAAAAAGAATGATCTCTTCAATTAAAGACTCGAGAAATGCAAACCTACCTTTATATTGTATTATTCTTACTCTTTTAGCTGTAATCGGTGGCTTTGAAAATGGATTTAATACTGGCATTACTAATATACCAGGTATTTATTGTAGATTTTAATAAATAGTGGATTTTAGTAAATCATAAATAGTGGAATTTAATAAAGAGTGGATCTTGGTATACTTGTAAATCTGTAAATGCATGTTTATTTATTTGTTTATTTTGTAATCGGAAGAACAAATAATTAGAAATTGTTCGAATGGATATAATCACGTACAAGGAGCAGGTGTGCCAGATTGCCTTCCAATGGGAAATTTACTTTGGTAAACTTGATAAAATTGGTCCAACATTTCAATTTCTATACTCTCACGAATGGACCTTTGATATAGTAAAAACTATAGTAAATGCCAAAAGTCATATTTATATGCTGTACGTGTATAAGATATAATAAAATATCAACACCCATTCGTGAAGGTGTAGAAATACCAATCTCCAATCTCCTAAAAATTAGTCTAATCATAATGTAAAATAGGGGCCTTGCAGCAGGAAGTCATTCAATGGGTGGTATTTTTGGAGGTCTCAGTGCTGGTAGTTTACAAACAATATTTGGTAGAAAGAATACGTTAATATATAATTCTTTTACTTGGATAATCGGTGGTGTACTTCTCGGTGCGTCAGTAAATCCAATAATGTTTATATGCGGTCGTATTATTACTGGGATTGGTTCTGGTATTGGTTCTGTCGTTATTCCGGTACATGACTAAATATTTTTTAATATCTTTTTTTTTTGAGATAACAATAATTAATAACAATAATAACAATAATAACACCACTTTGTTTTTTTTTAAACCAAGACATATTTATGTGAAATCTCGACCATAAAGTCACGTGGACTAATTGGTTCCGTTTATCAAGTTTTTCTCGTGATTGGAATAGTTACTTCTCAACTTATTGGTTTATCATTATCATTTATTCCTGGCTGGCGCATTCTCCTAACTCTGACGTCAGTAATTGCAATCTTCCAATTAGTATTAATGCCTATTATAGGAGTGGAATCCCCAAGATATTTAATTTCACAAAATAAAATTGATGAAGCGAAAATGACATTACAAAAATTAAGAAAAGGGTATAATATTGATTTAGAATTTGAAGAAATTATTCAGGGACAATCCGTAAATCAAATTAATGCGATTAATGATATTAATATCGAGAAAGGTGAAAACTATCTAAACTATCTACAAAGTTCTCTTGTTGACACTGATAATCAACTTAGAATAAGGAAAACTGCTTCATTTAAGGAACTTTTACTTGATTCATATTGTCGCAGGATGTTGTTCGTTTGTATTGGAACAAATCTTGCACAACAACTTTGTGGTATCCAAGGAATAGTCTTTTATAGGTAATTTTTATCATAAAGTACTTACTATACGTACATCATTCTAAATCATTGAATAATTTAAATACATAAAGTACTTACTATACGTACATCATTCTAAATCATTGAATAATTTAAATAGTACTGCTATTTTCTTAAATGTCATGGGTGATTCGGCAAAATACATTACGATAATCATAGGCGGTACAATCTTGATAGTTACATTAATATCAACCTTTCTGATAGATCGAGTGGGAAGAAGACCATTATTATTAGCATCTGAGATTGGTGTTACCGTCTCATGTCTTTTAATCGTTATCGGATCTATATATCGATATAATATTCTTCTTATAATCGCATGTAAGAAATTTATTACTGAATACAATGGAAAGATTCATAATCCCGGTTACTAAAAATTCAAACCGGTTTGTGTTGAGTAATTGGGATTATGAGAAAAGTTATATAACGCTTTTTCTAATAAATTTTTTTTCTCTTTTCTCAAAGTTTTACTCCATGTTACTACTTTTGGCATCGCTCTTGGAAGTTTACCATTTTTTATCATCACAGGTATGACATTTAAATAATCTTTGCTGTAAGTAAAATTTCATATCACTATCATTACATTATAATTAATCACATTTATATTCATTATATTCATGTCAGAGGTTATACCAACACGTTTCGTAAGTTTGGTCGGTCCAATATGTTTAGGTACAAATTGGACTGCAAATTTTCTTGTATCATTTATATTTCCTGTTATGAAAGAGGCTTTAAAAGAATATACTTTTCTCGTATTTGGCGTAATAACCTTTTGTTTTGTAATCCTTACCTGGATTTTTGTTCCCGAGGTATGTCTTTATTTTTTTTTATGGAAAGTATAGGTATTATATACTTGTATCTATTAATTAAATAACCTTTTTTTTTTTCTTAGACTAAAGGAAAAAGCATTGAAGAAATAACTTCAAGAAAATAAATAATTTTAGTAGGAAAAAAAACTAAATTAAAATAATAATTAAAATTATAGGTTTTATTCTATAGTGCTATACGTAGCGTTGGGGTGTTAAATGCACTATGTAAATCAAATTTATGTATGGTCTCATAGTAAAAATAAATAGTGAACTTTTTTGTGTAACGAAGGCGAAGATCCATATTAAAAATTAAAAATTTGACAAATTTTTTATTAATTTATTATGTATTTTTGGTTATTTTAAAAAAGCGCACTTTTTTCTTTAAAAATATAAGGTCTGCTGAGCAATCTTGTAAAATTTTTAAGAAAGTTAATATGTAAAATATTGAGGAGATACAGTCCAAATTTAGTAAATTTTAATAGTGTTTTTATAAGAAGTTGTTAAATTTCAAGCCGTATCTTCTCAATATTTTACATAATAACTTCTTCAGAAATTTTACTCAATTGCTTACAGGCCTTATATTTTTTTAAAAAAAGAGCGCTTTTTTTTGAAAATTTTATTATTAAAAATTTACATGAATTTATAGGTATGACTCGTTTCTCAAATGTTTATATGACATCATGCATGTGACAATTTACTAACAATATATACCTGCAACTGAATAAATGCTAATTATAACCCTATGTAATATTAGGTAAAGAATGCGGCTATCGAATAAAAATATCTTCAGTATTAGAACAAGAATCAGTTTTTTAATAATTTGATTTTTATATTAGAGCAATTTTACAGAAAAACGAGTTATTACAACTCTATTTTCTCTCATTACAGAAAGCGAATCCATCCATATATTTTAATTATGAACTCAACTTTTATTATTAAATAATGTAGTAATAAAAGCAATAGAAGAAATACATTATTACAAGAAATGAGGTAATAGGAATTTACTACGCAAGGATAATGTAATGATTACTCAAAAACAAGGTAATAGTTTGATAATAAAATGTAACAATGACCTTCTAAAAATATTAAAAATATAACAAAAAAATAAATAAAATAATAAAAATAACAATAATATAAAAATATTTATATGAAAGATTTTGCAATGTTAAGAATTACTAATCAAAATTTTGAAGATTACTTAATAATTAGCATTATACAGTAATTTTAAATATTCAAAACTATAAATATAATCTACTAGTTTATTTATTCCTAGTTCTGTGCACAGCTATCACTATCACGATTATATGATCATTAAGAAAAGGATTTATGTTCTTGACTGATCACCAAAAATATTATAATATTATTCAAAGACTATTTATATCATTATCTATGCTCAGGTGTTTGGTCCTTCAAGTCTCTCTTTTCCATACTTTGATTATGTGGATTGAGATATTTTATATTATATTCATTGAGCTTTCTTTGTCTTCTTTGGTAATGAGATTTGGATACTTTTGAATAAGAATTTTTGATATGACTATGTTTAGGTAGCATTTCGATAAAAAGATGCAGATTATTGACTCAATAGTTAAAGAAAATTAGATACTATTATATAGAATGTTATACAATTATATATAAGTTTTAATTGATAAATAAAATTATTATAAGCATATATTCTTATAAACACCAGCCTATTCTTTTTTTAAAACTCTTTATTAAAAATAACCAAGTTATACAATTTTGATTTTCATGATTATAAAGCAGATAGTATTGTCAAAATTTTGGCATTATTTTAAGCTAATGCATCCAATTAAAAGCTTATTTATTTTAATATTGTGATAAACAAAGACACTAACTGATTTACAAACCTTATCAATCGAGCCAAAAATTATTCAGTTACTGTTTCTTTTACTATTTCGAGTAATATGCTTATTGTTTTCTTATTAATTTAATAATTGAACATTATAGTTAGTTTAAATAAATAAACAAAAGTGTACAAATCTTTATTGAATTCAGTTATTGATCTTTTTGCTTATTGTTCTTTTAATAATCCAATTATTAATAATTATAGTTAGTTTAAATTAATAAACAAAAGCATACAAACCTTGTCAATTGAGCCAAAAATTATTGGTCGAATCAATTATTGTTTCTTTTATTTTAGATAATGTGCTTATTGTCCTCTTAATAATTTAATACTTAATCGTTATAGTTAGTTTAAATAAATAAACAAAAGTGCTGATCAATTTACAAACCTTGTCAATAGAGTCAAAATTATTGGTCAATTTAATTATTGTCTCTGTTGTTATTTTGTTTAGGAGTTTATCTATTATTTAGCAGTTAACTGTTAATTGCACAACTTTTAACTATTTCTATAAATTTAAGTATTAAAAATTATATAAATACCAGATTTTTTTAAAATCGCAGAATCATAATATCAATTATTTTTTCTTATCATATATATAAAAACAACCTTGTTTTTTAGACTCAGAATTGTAAATTGGTCATTTTTGAGTTATCTAACATGTCTAAATTATCAAAGCAAAAATGTCATATGATGTACATGCACTCTCAACAGGATGAAATTCAAAAAATTTATAAAATCGTGCCTTAATTTGATTCTGAATTTTTTCTACAAATCTACTATATCTTTTTGAATACTTTAAATCATATAAGAAGAAGAAATATTTCAAATTATTTGCAACATGTCTAAAGCACAAAAAAAGAATGCATTAAATCTTATTGAATTAATGCGAAGCCTAAAAGGAAAACACAAAGATGAAATCATTTCAACTTATCTTCAAAAGAAAGCCCTTAAATATATTACAGATATCAGTAATTGTAAAAGTTGCATTAAATTTTTAAAAAACAAAAATACAAATCTAAAATTGGTAAACTAAAAACTATTAAAAAATAATCAAAATTTATTATATAAGATCTGGTCTGTAAACAGTTCAAATCAGCATCTTGAAAATAAAGTAAAAAAACGAGTTTCAACTATAAGATCATTAGTATACAAATAAAAACAAATACCTTATAAAGAATTCAAGAGTCAAATCAATACATTAATTAAAACAAATAATAATAAATATTCTCCCAAAATTATTTGGCTTTCTACAAAAATTTTACAAATTGGACAAACTTCATTAAATGCTACTGTAAAACTATTGCAACTTGTTTATGAATTTTTGGTAGATGAACCTCACAAAAGTGGTTATCAGTATCTATATTAAGTACTTGGCATAAAGAAGTCTCACAAATTGAAACTGAATTCATAATTAATCAAGTTACCTAATATTCATGATTCAGTATTCTTGTTGATGAATCAACTTGAGATAAAGTTAAAAATTTTGTTATATGCATTATGTTCTGAAACCATAAAAATAATACACTATCAGTTGCTGTAACCAATCTTGAATATTTACAAAAATGTATTGGCCAATCTATTGCAGACAATGTTATTGCTGCTATTATAAACCATAGACTTGATTCGAAAAAATGTCAAGCTTGGGTAACAGATAATACAGCCTATATGTCTGATAATTAGAAAAATGCAATGATTTAATTCAATAAAAAAGTAAATATAAGTGCAACATGAATTAGTTGTGATATGCATATTATGCATATTGATTTACACATTTTGAAGAAACATTTGAAAAATTACCTTTATCAATCAGATTTTTAAGAAATTCACAACCTTTTAATTTATTATACTTAGCATGGCTTCTACATAATAGATATAATTCAAGTAACTAAGGCAAGCCTCTTAATATAAAGTTAGAATATATTCAAAAATATATGACAAGCTATTAGGATTCCATTTCTCACAATATCAATTACCAATTAGAGGACAGTGGGGCTATGAATTATGTGCTGCTAAACAATATTTGGAATAGTATACAGCACATTTAGAATTTGCCAATTGGTTTGTTAGAACACTTGAAAATAATTCAAGTACTCCAGTATTGTATCTTTTTAATTAGCGATTGTTTAAAAAATGGCTCCTAAATAAAAAATTAAATATTTAAGTCTGGCGTTTAGTTACGTTTAGTAAGAATTTCTATAAACCACTAATGCAATTCATGGTTAGAAAGGACCCAATACCTTATATCAAATTAGATAATTATTTTATTCAACTTCTATCCAGTCAACATGCTCATGAAATGCCTGACAAGGCTAATAAATAGATCAGTTTTTTGTATAATTTTAAAGAAAACTTTGAGTCATTTTTTGGAGACAAATTGCTTATAGCACTAGAAACTCTAAATAGTGATGAATTTAGTAAGGTTTTTGATAGTTGAAATGAGGTATAAATAAGGCATATGAACATTTTATAAAATGGATTTCTCTATGGATATACTTGCCACTATCAATTTGCCACTTGGGTGAAAATTCTGGTTATAAGTTTGCAAAAGCATTTTACTATGTTGTATGAGAGTCTCAATGGCTTTTTGAGCCAACAGAACACAAAATGAAATTAGTAAAACAATTACATGAAGATTTTGAAATGTCTAATAATACATTCAGCCTTTACAAAGAATTATTAGATTGTTTAGAATTTAGAGATGAGTTTTAAACATTTTGTTCCATTTCAAACTCTAAAATTTATAAATATCCATTATTGTATAAATTTGTTAAAGAGTGAATTTACTCTATTATAATTCATCAACAACAAATAAAAGAGCTCTTTAATAAACTAGATTTAAAGACTCACACAAATATGACACTTGACTTAAAACAATTGAAGTTACAACTTTTATCTAGAAATATAAATAAAAACAATATTGTCTTGGGTCTTTCAGAAATTCATAATAAACGTAATAACCAGTTGCAAACAAATCCTATAGAAAATATAAAAAATTACAGAGAAGAAGAAGCAACTAAAATGTTTTTAAACTTATTTCAAAGTTAATAAGAATATTTATTAAAATAAAATAAGAATA